AGGAGTGATAACATGGGTTAGGCAGAGAGGGTCTCTGGTGGGACATCCTGCCCCCCCCCCCCGTGGTCAGAAAGGCTCCCGCCTCTGTGGTCTGCTGCCTGCCTTGCCTGCTTCAGTCATGCCAGAGGGAAGGGCCCCTCCGGGCAGGGAATATGCAGGAGGAAACACAGTGCTCTGGGCACCAGGTGGGAGAAAACTCTCAAATACTAAGTATGTGTCTGAATGAGGGTATATCTATCCCAAGAGATGCTGAAAAGAAATATGCAATGTAGTCAGCAGCTTTTCTTGTCTTTGGATGCTCAGATCTTTTAGTGACAAGTTTCTTAAACCTCTCTTTAGCTGTTTCCTCTTATTCCTTCTTACTGTCCCTCCTCTGATTCGGATGCCTCTCCATGAAAGTACTACACACGATCATTTTTGAGGAAATTTCTTGGTTTGCATCTTCAGCAAAGCACCTCTTTGTGTTTGCGCAGGCCCGTATTCATTTGTGGTCTGCCTGTGATGACTCCAAGGGCTCACGGAGAAAATTTTCACTGTGCACAGCCCACTACAGAGGAGACATGGCTGCCGTCAAGGGATCTCTGCCATCAGAACATTTGGTTTCTGAGTCGCCCAAGTCCTCTTTGTTTTTGATCGTGACATTTCTTCATGCTCAGATGCATACGTGATGTAACATTCTTTGTTGATGTTCTGAAATGTGTTTTAGAGTTATTTTGGCATAGCACAAAATAAGAATGGGGCTGTAAACTTTTCTGATTGAAATGCTAATCTTTTGAGGTTTGTTTTTTTTTTTTTTTTCCTTTTTTTTTTCCCCCGCCTGCCTTTCTGTACAATGCATAATTTGTAAAGCTTTAAACCCAAGACTGGTATTTAATAGACCCTAGACTGTTTTGTTGAAAACAGGGCAAATGAGAAGTCTCTCTAGGGATTTGTGGGCTTTTATTGTGGTGGGGGAGTATGCCCTAAAGGGGAGTTCCTCCCAGCCTAATTGTTGACAAGTGATGGAAGTTCAACAGCATGGAAACTCTACTTCTCGCTTCAGCTGAAAAGGTGCTTATAAAGGTAGTTGGGCTATTTTAGCAATTTGCCTAGTTTTGAAAATCCAATTTGGTAGCTTCATTAAAGGGCACTAATTTAGTGTCTTAGGGGAATATGTGTTTAAAGGAGCTTGTCAACAATCTTAGATGTTTGCCAGTGTGTAGGTGAGCTCAACTCCCCAAGCTGGGGTTACCTGGTTACATGCATGCTCCTTCATTTCAAACATAATGCCAAATAAACTCTAAAGCCCTCAAACCAAGAGAGTAACAGCACTACTACCTATCCTCCCCCTATTGCTTACCATCCCTAAGGTTGGGGTGTTTCTGGTATATAAACACATCTGCAACTGGCATTGTGAATCTGTCACCCATAGGTCCAAAAGGAAGATGACAGTTTTTGTTTAGTGGTACATAATATATGACAGGCTAAGGAGCTTACAGAGTGGTAACTATTTCATATTGTTTAAGAAAATAAAAACACTTTCTGAATGCCTAAAACAATCACTTATTGCTCACTGCCTGCCTAATATTCCCAGGAGTATATTTCAGTCCCACTTTGGGACACAAAATTTTAAAATTGGGGAGCTGAATGCTAATTATATACATGGCCTCACATAAACTAGAGCTTTCTCCAGTTCCTACTTTGTTATGAGAAAAGGTACAGAATTTAATTGAAGCAAATTAATGTTATTCTTCTTTGGGATGCTTTCTTTTTAAAATAAAACTTAAAATCCATGAGAAACTGCAATCAATTTTTTAAATCAAATTTATCTATACATTGTTAAGATTTGAAAACATTGTTTTGTTTTTCTATATAATCACTGGAGTTTGTACTGAGAATACTGATGAGGTTCTCCCTCCCCTCTCTCAATAATTTCTAATCCAGTTTATAGGGTTGGGTTCCATTTTTTTAAAGTGAACTCTGAGTGAAATCTGATTTTTTGTTTGTTTATTTTTGCAGAAAAGGCTTTGTGTTAAGAGCAAGCTGCTGAGACTTCCCATTAATAGATTACTTGTCTGTGCATTCAGGAGATGCTTAGGTGTGGTTCTGTGCAGAAGAGACAAAACCCTCTTCCCATGTGGTCCCAATGATTTAATTTATGACACAGCACAACTCGGCATAATTTCGCCCCAAAGAAAAGTAGGCTTTTCAGAAGACTTAAAAAGAAGGAAAGGGTAGTGAATTAGAAATATTTTTAATAATTTTCCCTTGGATTCCATATGGCTAAAAGGAAGGAGAAAATGCCTATTAAAAAACACTTTGGAGATGACTGAGTAGAAATGATTGAGTCATCGTTCCAAAGTAAAAGTCCTGAATCCTTTAGGTTTGGTTTTAAGGAAACCTCATACAGAAGATTCATTTTTATTCCAGCAAGAGCCGAACCCCAAGGGAGACCATTTCAAATAGCTGGAAAATAATTAACTGTTCATCAAGGGCCAGTACAACCTTATTCTGTTTTTTCATAGCATTTTCTAGAAGCACACTTAACATTTGTTTGTGATTTATAATCGATATTTTAGCATATGTGAACATGGCCACAGCTGTAGAAATCACATTTCTATAACAATGTGGAAGGCACATTTCTTAATAAGTCTGTTTATATCATCTGTCATTATGGGTGGGTGTCAATAAGTGAAACTAAAAAGATGTGGACAATTTCATGACACGGTTTGTGCTAGTTATTTATTTGTTGTCTGCTCCTGGGGTTACTAATTGTAGCTGGTGAAAGTTGATTTTCTCCTCTTCAATTTATTGTAGGATGGGGCGTTCATAGCACCAGATCCATAGTTATTCAGTGTCTACATTTCAGAAGCTGAATTGCTGGATTCTGTCAAAATGAGCTTTGGCAATTCCATGCGGGAGTGTACAACTATAATTTTGCTGCACATTAATAACAACCTTGCAAAGAAGCCCAGAATCAAATGCCTTGCTCTCAGCTGGGGGCAGAAAGCTAGAGCGGTATATCTTGGGGGTGACCTATAATGTTGCAAAAGTAGGTTCTACATTCACTCAGGAGGAGTGGGCGGTATTCCGGAAATTTCTTCACTCTCCACTACGCCTCTTCCTTTTTTTTTTTTTTTTTTTTTTTTGTGGTGTGTGCCCTGAGACAATGGGGAAAAAAATGAATTACAGATAATAAAAATAGTACATCTCCAGAACACACGGTAAAATAAACGCTTTTATTTCTTCAAGTGTCAACTCTGTTCCCTGCCCCAAGCCTTGCCCTGCCTGGCTTTCTGCGGCTCCTCAGTGATCCTAAATCAGCGCTCTGGTGGGCAGAGGGCTGGGCAGTCGCCCGCAGGGAGTACACTTGGCGCTGCGCGCTCGGACTTTTGGTCTTGCTCAAAGCTGAGAATCTCCAAGAGCTCCGAGGCTACGGATTTATTCGGGTGGGGTGAGGTGTTATTATTGTGGGATTGTCTCTGCAGAGTTGGCCCGGGGAGTGAGCGCGGGAGGAAGAGACTGGAGCAAGGCTTCGCCAAGTGTCCCCAGGAGTCCGGCAGCGCCCCTGAGAGCAGTAAGCTGGAGGGCTGGGGCACGGGGGGGGGGGCGGGAGGGGCTGCGTGACTGCTGGCTGGGAGCGGGGAGGCAGTGTGGAGGGGCAGGGGGCAACGTGCCAGTTTTCTCTCTGATTAATGATGATCATGCTGCCGCGCCTGGCTCATGCGCTTTGTCTCCAGCCTTGGGGCTGGCGGAGAATTGCCCGAGAATGAGTGGTGCCGCGAGCGTCGGGCGCACCCAGCAGGTGCCGGCACTCTGGCCCAGCCAGCACCGGCCGCGCCCCGTGGCACAGAGGTCGCGACACCGGCGGGCGCCCAGCTGCGCCCACCTCCTGGGTGTGGCGGGTCAAGGGGCCAGGGTCTCCGGGCCGGAGAAGCTGCGGAGCCACGTGCAACGCGCACGTTAGCCTCAGCCCGGGCGGGGACCGGACGCATCCGGGGCTGCGGGGAGGAGCCGGGCGCCGCCCCCGGGCGGCAGTGCCAGCCGCGTGGGAGGGCACGGGCCGGCGGAGGGGCAGACGACTGAGGCGGTCAGGCAGGGGAAGCGGAACCGAGCGAGCGGCCGAGGCTGGCTGGCTAAGGGCGGGATTGGCAGAGCTACGGGGACAGGTGGGAGCAGTCAGACAGCCTGAGAGAGGGAGACCAGAATGCGAAGAGAGAGGGAGCGTTAAGTAGGCAGAGCGAGAGCGAGCGCGCGAGCGAGAGCAAGCGCACCCGCGTGCTCCCTCCCTCCGGACGCCCTCCTCTGACCGGGGGAAGCGGCCAGGGCACAGAGTGGGAGAGAGACTGTGGGCACGGACGGCCGGAGAAGGGACAGAGGGATCCTGCCTGGCTGGTGGGACGGAGGGACGCGGAGGGACGGACAGACCAGCGCAGAGACCGGCCGACCGCGAGAGTGGCAGCTTGGAGAGCAGAGCGCAGGAAAGCGAGAATCGCGCGCTGGGCTGCCAGACTGACCGGCAGACCGTCAGACTGGCAGACTCGCAGACAGACTGAAGAGCAGGCAGGAGGCGGGGGCACGCCCGTCCCTTCCCCGCGGCCGGCCGGGCAGAGAAGGCGGCGGCAGCGGAGTCCCCAGAGCGTGTCCGGAGCAGCCACCAGCAGCAGGGGCAGCGGGGACGGAAGCCGCAACCAGCGCCGCGGCCGCAGCCGGGGCTGCCACAGCTGCACGGGGATCCCAGCCTTACACTGAGGAAAGCTCCTTTTACTAGCAGTTAAATAAATCGACCAAAAACAAAACAAACAAACAAACAAAAAAACCCAAAAACCCAACAACAAAAAAAGCCAAGCGCCAAACCAAACAAATCAAGCCAACTCAATCATTGAGAAACAATAATTAATAAAAGTCAAAAACTAAATCAAACCAGTCAAGGCACCAAGACGCAGGGGGGATATCCACTGTTCGATCAAGGTAATAAGGTCTTCCGACGTGAACATTGCACGCCTTTTGTGGATTTTTTTTTTTAATTCCTTCTTTCTTTCCTGCCATATATCTGTGTTTTTTCTTTTGAGTTATTTCTCGTGTATTGCTTCTTCGTGTTTGTTGAAAGCTGCTGTTGTTATAGATGTACTGTGTTTTGTGTTTCGTTGAAGGAAGGGTGGACTCCCCTTCCCCCAAATGAGACATAATGGAAAGCTGGAAGTAAATTGAAAAGGGCAATGCTTTTCATCGAAGTCTACGGTGATTTGTATAGGCTTTATGGTAGAAAGTTTGGAATGCTCTTATGTCATTTGTAAGAGAGCTATAGAAGAGATAGAAAGTTGTAATCTGTTTGTTGTCCTGGTAGCATTGGGGTCCTAGGGCCTAAGTGGTTTAGGAAAAAGAAAAAGGAAAAAAAAAAAAAGATGTTCGGTTTTATTTTTACATGCATGATATCTGTGCTTCACTGCAACCTCCAACTTAATGTCTTGTATCTTAGGTTATAGATATGTGGTAAAATTGAGTTGAACTAGACAGGTGTTTAGAAAGTTTCCCAGGAAGAGGAATTAACTCACTCAATGTTTATGCATAGAAATATAGTTGGAATGGAGGTGGTTGTTGTCATCTGCTGAGGTTCATACTTTACCACCTCCTGAAGACACAGAATAAAGACAAGAGTCCAAGCCTAAAAGGAAACACAAAGAGAAAATTGAAAGTTGTAGGGATGGAAAGCTAAGAACCACGGTGCAAGGCTGGCAGAAATCACTTTCATGAAAATGTGTTTAGAGTGTAGATATTCATTTTGATTTCTGATTTTTTAAGTCTACTGGTATGACACTTTAGCCCCTCCAAACAAAAAATGACATTCCCCAGAGTTAAAATGAATCCGTACAAGATTTTATTCAAATGCAGAATAAATCCAAATGATTCCCACTCCCTCTTCATGTGCTTTGGAAATCAGAACTGCTGTGATTGCTTTAAGTAAACAGAAATGGACATGAGAGAAAATCATTATTCATTTGATAAAAGTAAGAAAACCTTGACGCACACTTTGAATAAATACACCTACTTCTTTGATCCTCTGTATATGTGTTACCACAGGGTGTGCATGTCTTATTAGGATTTTAGTTAATGTCGATTTCATGAAAGACAGTGATTTGGAAGCCAAGAGCTCTGTCTGTGTTTTGTTCAAGTAGCCGAGTAATCTACTATATTGGCAGTAATTGCTTCTGCTGCATTCATAATGTGAATCGCATGTGACATTATGTGTACACTCTTTTCAGGTTTATATGGGTTTTCAAGGTATGTATTTGTGTTTGATCCTATATTTCCTTTGTTATCACATTCTTTTACTTTTTATCACTTCAACTACGGAATATTTTGACATTTTCTGGAGAGTCAGTTTGGGTGTGTTTTCTTTGAGGAATACAGCTCCTCATCACAAAAAATACAAAAAGATAACTGTCTTTGCTTATCAATACTATTATGATTTGGTTTAAATGCACTTTTAAGACATTTAGATTGCTGTGTGTACATGTCTTAATTTACCTTCTCTGGGCATGATTTGTGTTATTTGACAAACAAAACAAAGTTACTTTAGGTGAATGCCTATTAAACAGAGTACTTTGTTAAGATGAGGTATACTTAAAGGAACTTATACAGCTCCAGAAATTGGCTTTCAGCTTCTCAGCAACTTACTTTCACTAATGCTGATTTATCTTTTACAGTATTTAGCTCAGACTGAGACAGGTTTGTATGTGCCACTAGATTTCCCAGTGACTTTCCTTCTTAGATCCCAGTTGAGTGTGGTTACCTTGAGAACTGTGGCATTAGCCCCGTTAGAGCATGCTCCACTGGGGAGTTCTGTGCAATCTATTTTTAATGCTATTTAATGAAGGAGCGGGTGCCTCAATCAGCAATAAAAGAAGCATGAGGGAAGACAGAGCATTGCATGGTTATGGATACTGGAGAAGGATATTTGGAAAGGTAAAGACTGACCACTGGGCATGGTAATAGGTCTTAATATTCTATTAATAGAAATCAATGTAATTTAGTGAGAGAATAATACATGAATAGTTTGATATGTGTTTTCATAAACCTCTTCACTAGTTCTTAGAAAGAATATTCAATATTTTGAGTTCTTTAAAACTTGAGGGAGTTACTAACCGGGGAGTTCCTGCATGCATACTATTTTTAATACCAGCTGTCAGATTCTTGGGTGGTGAGAAGTACAGGAATGATTTCAAATTCCTAAGATATTGTTCTAGCACAGGATTTGGGGCTTGTAACACATTCTGGGAATAAAATAACTAACATCCTTCTAAGATTCTATGATAACTTAAAGTTCTGCTTTTTCAATCGTTTTATTTTCTTTTACGAACTTGGAGTCTTGGTCCAGAATTGTGGCAACCAGGTGTAGCAGGAAGTTTTGATTGAACTTGATAGAAGATTTGGTTGTTTCCTCCCTAGCTTTAAGATAAATACCACAGATTAGCATACTGAAGGCTAAATATTTTAAAAATATAAATAGCAGAGGCCGCACTGGTAACTTTTGGAATGTTATAATGAGGGGCAAATTGTCTTAACTTTATAGTGTGGAAAATACAATAAGCCATCTGTCTGCAACATTTGCATGTATACAGAACACCTGTCTTGAGGTAGAAAGCGAGAATGTTCAGTCAGAAAGGTCTCTTGTTCATTTTCATATTAACAACATATTATAATCAGGTTATTCCTTTGTTCGAGTAAAGCTCATTAGACAAAGTGCTTAAATATTTTCAAAATTAATAAAGATAAGAGAAAATGAGTTTATGTTAAATGAGGAAGTGAGTCACATAATTATTTTTAAATGAAGCTGTTAGAACAATATGCAAAGTTGATCTGGATTTTGCCAATTTTTATGACAAATAACCCCCAAAATAAACTACTAAGGAAAATGTATCATAAGGAGTTACTGTGATTTTTTTTTGTTGTTGTTCGTCTTTTCAACTTAGTACTTCTAGAAGGGGAAAGCAATCCACACTGGCTGTAATATTTCCCTTAGTGATTGCGCCACTTGGACCGCAGTGATGATACCTTTCTCAAGCTTCCCACGTCAGTGGGCATTTTCATCTGAATTCAATGTGTATTTTGTCTGTGGACAAGATAATGATAAGCTACATGAGTAGAGTGTGGAATGAGTCAGCCACTGAAGACACAGTATACAACGTAGCCAAAAGTGAATATGATTGAGAATTCTCATTAGGGTGAATAGGCAGTTTGAAGTCCATAGGTTGGAAATTGCAAATTAGCCATTTGTATATAAGTCAGTTTAATTCAGATCTGCTTTGTGGCAAGGTTAGGAAAGAATGTGGGGCTTAAAAGTGATCTCGACACTGAAAGCTATTTCTTCTAATGGTAAGTACTGGCATCAATCTGACTGGTACCACACGGTGGTAGCATGTTTAGAAATTTGTGAATCTCTAATCATAAAAAGAATTGGCTTCCTAAAAATGCATTATATCACCTAGGAAGTTCTGAACGTATTTTAAGGCAGTGATGATGAACTTGTAAAACATATACTTCCTCTCATTAGACAAAGGATCTGTATTTTTTAGGAAATCTATGGTTCCAGAAGCTCTGCATTTCTGTGCACTATGCTTTCGTTTACTTTTTACTCTAACATTTAATGTTAAATATGATAATTGAATTTGAAGCCCTGATATAAGTAAATGCTGAAAGATTGTCGGTGGTATTAGCAAGAAATATCTGTGACTGGATTTGTTTTTCTCAGGGTGTCTTTCCTTCTGAGTGTTAGTTTCTTTCAGAGTCCTCATTCCAAGTTCCTTTGAATTGATTTTTTCAGTGCCGTAGTTTTATAATTTAAATTAATTTTGCTCATCTTGGATTAGACTTGGTCCTATATATTGAAATATTTGAAATACTTCTTGTATTAACATCACAGCCATTTCATTTCTGTGAGGATTAGATATGAGCTAAGATATGAAGTATCTAAATTGTATACATAATGTTTGATGAAGAATAAAGTGCTTGAGAGAGAATATCAAGTTCATTCAGCAGTTTTTTAATGTTTAGTTACTTTGTTACCTTGTGGTCTCAAAATCCTCTGCAGTCTGGTGATATTTTCTTTGGGCGTAACATGCCCATATGATATTTTGAATGCACCTTTTTCTAAAATTACTGGGATATAACTGTGCCTTGGCAAGCAGCTATGCAGGCAAATCAGAAAAGTGAATTGGAATAATTACATCAGGACAATTGAAGAGATGCTGAAACAACAAAAGGGTGGGCTTGAATACACCAAATTGGCTCTCTGCTTTCAGATTGAATGCTAACATCATATTATATTCCTCTTTTCTAGCCCCCAGCATAGTTCCTAATATTGCCAGGTGGAGAGAATGTTAATTGCTATGTATGGTCAGAGTAGATCAATATTTTAAATTCTTCCACGCAGTTTTTATAACTCACGATTTATATATATATATATATACACACATATATATATATATCAATCAATGCGACAGGTTAAGAAGATTTTTTATAAGTTTTGTAATAAAGTGATATCTATTAGGGTCCAATTGCAGTTGTGACATTAAAATGCTGAATAATTAGTCCAAAATTTTCTCACTCAAGGCACATATTCATAATTTCTTTCAGTCATGAATTCAAATAACAGTTTAAAGTAATATACTATACTTTACAATTGTTCCCCTTATCTAGCAACAGAAAATTATTTCATTTTCTCCAGGTAAAGGAAGGGAGAGTCCGCTAATATTTATCTTTTTTTGAAACAGACTTTTTACCACATTTTCACATTTCACACTATTTAAAAATGATAAAATTCTAAAATCCATAGTGGATAACACACAAAATATTAAGATTTTGTTAGTAAAATCACTTTTGTAAATATTAACATTGGTTTTAAGATAATTGTGAATAAACTTTGGTTTTAATTTAAAGGAAGAATTCAAGATTTTTAATAGGAAAACTGTTGCGTCACTTTTTATTTCAAATATTTCAGCACATTTTAAAGAGATTTATTTGGAATATTGTGGGTAATGTTTCCATGCAAAGTTGCATAGTGTAATATGCAATGTTTTTTCTGCAGCTTTTTCATTGAGTCAGATTCACAAAGCTTATCTATCTAGATAAGCCCAGTCATCTTTTCCTGATACCTACGCAAGCTAGGAAATAATTCCTCATGAGAAGGGCACCCAAAAGAAGAACTCAGTGACTCCACAACCAAATTTAGTCCTGGAATTCTTAATAATGGATAAGCATTCTTTTACATTTGTGTTATTTTTGTTACTTCTTTATTATACATTAAACACTTCAGATACCAGAGAAATGGTTTTCATATACTTAACAGATTTCCTTTTAATTGTCATGAAACAATACTCACTTCAGAACATTCTGGTCCATAGAATAGTATGTTAAAGGAGAAATAGTTCATGCATATTTACATGTTTTGATCTAGTTGGAATTGAGAAACACCAATAAGTGAAATAAGATATTTCAACATTTTTAAAGAACAAAACGCAACATCAGTTTCTAAAAGTTTTATGGTCATACAGATCTGAATAAAATATTCTTTGACCTGTAAATGAGAAGGCCCAGCTATCATCTAATTGTTCAGTATTTCAAGTTGCTTTCAGGTGATCTCACTACAGTTACATAGATCTAGAAAAATCAACCCATTGGTCAATAGAAGGTAAAGTAAGACCAGTGTTACATCACTGAAATTCAATGACTTGTAATTGTTTAACCTTTATTTGCCTGTGAACTCAATGGGAAAATAAAAAGCTAACAAATTGATTTTGCAGCTTTTTATGTTTCTAAAATCACAAGCTAAAATCCTCACATAAAACTCTAATATATATGGATGAGAAAATATCTATAGTCTGCATTGACATGTTTTTCTTAGCATTTTGCTTGTTAATGTGTATGTAACTTTAGTGGAAATCCCAGCGTTGCTGGCATCTGATTAAATTTAATCATCAAAGAACTGTTGGACTGAAAACAAGTAGATCCCATGTAAGTATCTCTCAGAATCAAGATTTACGCAGCATTTGCAAGCTTTAACTTCTCATTGTTGCTTTAAAACAATTTTTTAAATGGGTGTAAAAAATCTTTGGGTTGAAAATATAGCACGTTATTTTCTTTTTGTAGAGAATAAAGATTAAGAATTATTGTCAAATTATGGCTCTTTAAGCCAATGTAGCACATAATTGTATTAAAATTGCTATTGAATTCTGCCAAATTAATTAATTGTTAGGATTCTGCAGTCATATCTATGATCTTATTTCTTTTATCTGGCCTATGGGAATGATCAAGCTAACACTCTTAAATAGCTTTGTTTTTCCATTTTGTTTATTTTTAACTTACTTGGATATGCTGGTGGTATAAGAATTTGGGAAATTATCAAACAACTAGCATTACACTAAATTCAAAAATTTCACATCAAACATCAAACAACTAGCTGGTATTAATGAGTCATCATTTTTTTCACTCCCATGCCAATTTAACTTTGGTGACAACATGTTTCCTTTATGAACATTAAAATCCTTCTCCAACTAACAGCATTCTAGAAAGATAAAATAAGATAGCATGTAATCATGTTGCACGTACATACTGCAGCTATCTGCTTACCCCTAGCTTTGTTAAGTACTCAAACAACCCTATGCCTTAATCTTTAATTATTGTTGCACTTCATCCAGAACTACAGATGACTAGCTATTCAGAGGGGTTTTTTTTGTTTTTGTTTTTTTTGTCATCAAGATGTGGGAGAGTATACATAGTTAAGGTGACAGTTTATATACTATAAAAACCTTATACATCTTTTAGGACAAGGATATAAATACCCCTCCAAGAGGAACATTATTTTATTCTACAAGTAATTGTAAAGTCTGTATTATTTGTCAGATATGATGTGGAAGGCTATAGACAGAGATGTTTTGAATTCAGTGGAACTTCTCATTGGAATTTGGGTTAAAAGTAACAGAATTTGTATACCAAAGGTACCCAAAGAGTTTATCCGAGAGGGAGCTGGTTAACTGTGCTGTGTGTGATGAAGGAAGGCTTATTGAAGAGTTGCGTGGGGTTCTATGAGATTCTGAAGGTTAGAGAAATGCACAAAATTTGGATTAAAATGAAAGGTCCAGAAAAACAAAGCCTCAAATGTGGTGTATCCAAATCTCACACCTCTAAGACTTACCTTCATAAATACACAATCCACCACCTCCATAAATATGCAGTTCACTGCCTGAATTGGTGTTTGGTACTGCAGTTTGACTTCTGGGTCTGAGTAAATAACTACCAGTGTGACTCCACTAGTCCAAAACGCTAAAACCTCTCTATGCTTCATCGTTTGTACAGGTAAAATTGTGTAGTTAACACCGCTCTAACACAAACAACTTACTAGTTGTGTGACTTCAGCAATTTAATTCCTCACTGCTTTAATTATCTCATTTATAAAGTGGGAATAAGACCTACCGTGCAGGATTAATGACGAAACAAAGCACCTGGCACTGAAAAGAAACCATCTTCCTTTTATATGAAAAATTCAGGGAGATTGAATCTCATTATATAAATGAAACACACCTCCCTTAAGGGAAAAAAAATCTTTTTTTTTTTTTTTTTTTAGTTTTTTTTTGAGACAGAGTCTCACTTTGTTGCCTAGGCTAGAGTGAGTGCCGTGGCGTCAGCCTAGTAATTTAGCATACAACTCTTTTCCATTGCTACCCCATAAGAAATTTTGATGGTTAAATTTGTGACTATCTTGACTCTTTCTGTGCTATGAAATATCAAAGGCCAAACCAAGGTAGTAACTAATCTCAGGGGTGTTCATTGTATAAGGATCACGATGTTTAGTAAGACCTTTAACTTCTGTCAGTCTCTAAGGGAAAGAATAGCCTATTTCAGAGTTGTCTAAGAAGTGAACATATAGGTATTATTTCTCTAGGGCATTTTAGTTGTGTAATTTCCACTAACATGGGTGGCTAAAGAACCAAATCATTGAATAGGAGAAGTTTGGAATGGATCCATGAAGGAATCATCTTAAATCCTTCACTCGTGGGTGGGAACCAGTAAACAGTAGACTCGAGGTGGCATAGGAGAAGGAAATGTTTCTCTACAATAGACAAAGCAAGTGGAGCTTTGTGCTTGCTGAGGGGCTCCCTGGCACTCCCACAGAAGGCTTTTGTTTCGTGTTTCCAAGCGCTGAGTAAGCTGTTTGGACAGGGCGACTGATCTGATCTCTGATCCTAAAGCATCTTCACGTAATGTTGTGAGTCAGAGCTTCAAGCATGTCCATCCCCCAGACGGTGCACACTGCACTCATTTGGTGTGAATATACCCATCCCTCCTCCCCTTCCCACCTGCCCAACACCGGATGAATG